GCCTACGTGCCCCGTGCTCTGTGCCCCTGTATTATACGGGGCCGTCTACGTAGGCCGAAGCGGACCCGGCCCGTTTCCCCCGGGGCTTATCTTTATTCCTCTTAATAACGTCCGTTTGGTACCGGTGCGCGTGTCGCGCTATCGCCGTCGTATCGGCCCCGTTTCGCGTTTTCATTTCGCGGTAGTTAACCGCTTCGTTTACGCTCTACACCTCCCCCGCTTTTGTTGTCTTTTTTTCGATATTTCCAGCTTGTCGCAGTTTATTTCAGATCAGCCGTGATTATTCTTTTACGAGCCCGGTAGGGGAAGACGAACCTCGTGGTAACGTTAACGTAGCTTCCACTCCCTTTCGACGTCGTCGGTGGTGTTCCCCGTTTCACCGCCTCCTAATTGAATTATCACACGGCTGCGAATCGTGCGATGAAAAGAACGACGAGAGGCGAACACGAACCGATCCGACGTCTTTACCGGTCTCGCGACGCGAGGGTGTCTTTGTCACGGTCACGTGGAGAACGGAAGACAAGAAGACCGTGCGCCGGGGCGAGATAGCGCAAAATCGCGCGGCGTGCTGCTTAAAATTAATTACTATGCCGGGACCTCGGCCAGTGAAGTCGTCCGGCTGATCCGACAGCCGGCCGAGGGCCCCAGCGGTGTAACAGAGCAAACCCACCGGCCATTACAAACTGCGTCCTGTTTATCAATTTGAATTCGAAAGAGACGACCCTGGCGGTGACGACGAGTCTCCGCAACAAATTACGTTTATCGGGCGTTATTAATCAACGGGGCGTCTCGAACATCTGCGGACCGGCAACCTCTACCCCCCCCCCCCCCCCCCCTGCCGAGGAAGACACCGCGAACGGAAAATTAAGGCGACACGAAACTTCGCGATGAAGGTTATGGGAGATTCTGACCATTTTGTTGGAAACCATCGAATCGAACGTGAAGCGTTGTAGCACGAAATCCAGGTATACACCAACTGGTCTACCAAGATCATCGACAGCTGATTCCTCTCGAGCAGTATTCACATCTCGTTTCACGCGTGTGATTGACACGACCCGTAGAGAGACGTTGACATTGAAAACCATTCGAAAAATAATTTCAAGCAGTGTACGCTCGACACTCTCGGTTTATCCGCTGATCTACGGATTACCTTCGAGGGAGAGAGGGGGAGGTAGAAAGATCGAGGATACCCATCTCGAATAAATTTCGTGCCGGGTGGGTGGTACGGGCTGAAAAGTTCAGTGTTAGACGGAGGTTAGAAAGGAACGGCGGCGAAAGGGAGACGGAATTATGGGACGGAAAAGAAAACGGGCGGAGAGAGAGATACAAGCGACGGCAGAAGGAGAGCAGGTGCAAACTTGGCCTGTCAGGAAGTCGCTTACAGCTCGAGGACAAAAGCTTCCCGAGGGACTCGTGCGCGTCTGGAAGCGGGACTAGGGACGGAGGTCTGGGTAGAGAAAATGCCGGCGTAGGAAGGAGGTGGTTGAAGGTGCCAGCGAGGGGTAGGGGTGGTGGTAGTACGAGAGCCTAACTGTGAAATAACAGGGTGGCCTCCTCAACCCTCGTTCCGAGGATACGAGTCTCATACGTCACTTTCTTACGGCGAAAAGAGGGCGGCGTCTGTGAGGGTGGAAGCAGGTTATATTGATTTATTTATGCCGAGGACGCGCAACCCCAATGCGATGGGGTTATTGGGAATGTATCTATATCCGGCCTTGTGTAACCTCGTCTGCGTTTTCTATGGCTGATGGATCCCGACTCACGCCTACCGAGATACTTATCTTGGTTTCTTACACGTTCTTCGAACGTTTAATATCTACACAATCTCGAGAAGTTATCGCCTTGACCGTATTCGCTCTCAAAACTCCAACGGGATACGTTACTCAAAGATTAACCACAGGGTCAAGTAATCCCCAGTTAAGCCGCATACCGAACGAATTCCAAAACCAATGACTGCGAAACGATGAAACTGGTCGTGGCTGCTCGAGACTCATGAGACGGAGCATCGGCTGCAATTGAGAATGTCCAAGGGACCGTACGAAAAAGTTCAACGAACCAGAACCACACGACAGATTGTTAAACACGAATGATTCGGTCTCGGGGCTCGATACCGATCCGCCGCTCGAGTTACATACCAATTTACAATCGTCGGGCATGGTATAATCCGTAAAAATAAACTGGCAGCCGTGGGGTTTGCTCGGGTATGCGTGTATGCCTGTGTGTGGCGTATCGAGCCCCCTGGGTTCGGATGACACGGTCGCCGAATTCGTCGTACGGCGACCCGATTCCGCGCGCGCGTCCCGAGATCCGTCTCGTTCTCCTCTCCGGTTTCATCTGCTACACGACTCGACCGCGTGGCATGACTGTCGCTAACACGCGAGCCCCGAAAGTTAACCCGCAATTTAGCCCGGGAGAGGCGATCGTTCAAAAGAGACGTCTCACTTGATGCCACTTAACGGGGGAGATCCTTCGTTCCTCCAGAAACGGGCCGGTGCCCGGCGAGACGACTCGTGCTCGTTTTCAGATGCGACGATTGCTCACTCCTCAGAAACACGGAATCGGTCGTGATTAAAGTTTCACGGGTGGGGAATAATTAAACTCGAATTCAATTACACGTCGGTGGTTCACGCGCGCACGTTTGTTGTCTGCCGCTCCACAAACGTTCAATTAACGTCCACGTTCGTAACTCACCGCGATAATCGTGGAATATGGAAAAAGTATCACGAGAGAATTCGGACCCAGACGCGCGCGCGGAAAGCGACAGATCTCGGAATCTACGGTATTTAGGGCCGTGGACATGAAAGGAATTCCTGGACGTCTTTCGAAATTCCCACGATAAATCACAGTTATAGGGTTGACGGGGTGACGCGTATGATTACACCCTGTCTCTTAGCGGCTATAAATTTCTTGCCGGCCGCCGCGCGCGGCGACTAGCCGCTCCACCTCCGCTCTACGATTCCACAGGTATCCGGATAGGTCCCGTTCTCATCGTGGAACAGTTGTGTGTGACTCACGGTCTAAATGGCTCGGCCACGAAACCGGGCGACTTCGAATAATCCTGATGTATCGTTTGTATTCGCCTCGTACCCCCGCTCCGAGTGTGTAAAGAGGGGGTGGGGAGGATTCCATCGACGAGAAACGGTCATCGCTTTCTCCCGTGGATCAAGTCCTCGTGTCTCTCTTTGTGACCGGAGTCGTCTCGATCTACGGTGTCTTTTTTTTCATCCTTTTGGTCTCTATTATTCGGAAATATTGTATATGCGACCGGACGGCATCGTCGAGGAATTTATCTGTCGGTGCTTAGTCCTCGCGGTTGGATTCTCCGATATATCCGACCGGTCATTACGGCGAATTCAACTCTGTCCCCTCTCCCCACGAAACCGAGGATAACGATCGCTTTCGAATCACTGGTCCAGGCCCTGTCATTTGGCCAGAGCCACGAATTAACGCGCGACCAACCATAACCGTGGTGTCGAGAGGAGCGTGGACCGTTCCTTTTCAGTTCGGGACCTGGAATTAGAATTTCGGCCGCGTTTTTAAAATCCATTAGCCCTCTGGTCTCCCGTTTAAATTACGGTCCCAGCGTGCGTTCCCTCGTCCAAACACGCGCGGTCATCATTGACACCACCCTGTGGTCGCTCGAAAAACTGGCGCTTCTAATTAATTAACGTGTTCAGGGGGTGGCGAAGCAGTTCCGACGCGTTTGGCACGTGGTGTTGGATCGTGAGTAGGTACAGGCGCGCGGGACACAACCTAATATGGCGGGGTCGTGTCCCGACCACGAAACGAAGCAATCTTCTGCTTTTCAAGAATATAATTTTCACCGGCGGGGTCGGACGGGTCGCTATATTTCCAAGATAAGACTATAGAGCCCCGGTAGGCGGATCCTACGCCGCTGGCCCTGCAGCACCAAGACCCTATACTCTCTCGTGTGAAATTACTTCGCTACGCGGCTTACTCTTATCCCCCGGTGCCACCCTTTCTTACCGTGTATCCTCATTCAGCCGGGATCTCCATGGAAATAAAGTAGATACCTTTCCTATTTTCGTATCCGGAAAATTGCAATACCTTGGCTACACGAGACTGCTGCGCCTGTCGGTCTTATAAATCAGTCCCAGTACCCGTGGCGTTAATCGCCTCGCGGCTCGTTTATTTTTTTTTCCTCTTTATTTCTCTTGCAACCTGTCTCTAAACTGTTACGCTTGCAACGATACATTTTCATATTCATTGCTATCGTATATACCTACATATACTATATCAACCTTTCGCGTAATTAACCCCATGGACGGTTGTCAATGTTTGTATTAATCACGTTTAATTGAGAAATACGCGATCCGGCGTATCGTTTCGAGCAGCCACCAGGTTTCGTATCAACCGAGCCTGAATTTTTTTTTCTGTACACCGCAGTCGGTGAACCCCGGTTGAGCGAATGGCCGGCTCTTAACGCAACAAGCTCCATCGCGCGTTTATCTAATTATTATAATTGCACGATTATTCTTGGTCGAACGAGCCGCGCGGCGCGGCTGCGACTGCGACCAGGGGTGAGATCGCATGCCGGGCCGTCGTCCGGTCCGGCGAAAAAAAAAAAAAGAGGAATGAAAGAAGTAACGGGATATATATGGAGCAGCACGCGATACGATCTCCCGGTTAAAGTCGTGATGCAAACGATCACGAATTCTTTGCTGCCTTTGTATCGGGCCGTTTCTGCATTCTTTCGACGCGTACCGTCCGTTTTACCCCATCCCTCCCAACCCCCGAGGGGGAGGAAGGTAATAACTGTTCCACGGCGGCATTTTTCCGCAGATCGTCTATTTTTACCGACGATCTCGCCACCAACCCCTGGCTATTGGCCGGGCTCGCGGTTCCTCCCTTTCCGCGGATTTATGTTTTTTCATTAGGCATCTCGAGAGCCGATCCCATATTCGAACCGATCGTTCAACCCCCGTTTATAGTGCAAATTCGAACGTTCTGACTGGAGATGGTGTGCAAACTCACTAACAATGATTTATCGCAGTGAGCGCAGAATCACGATCACGGACGTGTATTAACTTTATTCGCGACCGTGATTTTTTTATGTTGAATAAATTTACTGATTGTGACTGTAATTCTTGATCCTTAAAAAAATACATATTCAATATGATTTGAAAATGAATTATAATTACTATTTGCGTTTTTAAAAATGAGTAGATAAGAACATAAATTATGAAAGAATGATTTCCTATAATTATACAAAAGACATGTTATGTAACACGTCGATTAGAATCTATTATTATTAATTTATTCATTATTCTACATTGTTCCTCATTATTTCTTTACTTTATACGATGTAACTGCATTTTTATGTTGATGTCGTTAATATAACATATACTGGTTATGTGATGCGTGCAAAGAACAGTTGTTATATTCTCCACCAATCGGAAACGATCACGAAAAATCACGAATCACTGTGAATAATCACCGTGATTGGGAAGTAATCCTGATTGAATCGCTCCTTGATTCAGAAGTAGCTGTTCACGCCATCTCTAGTTCTGACTGGCTCGACCTTGCACAGATCGCGTGCCTGTAAAATTATTACCCTCAGATATCATATGTGTGTGTGTGTTCGTGCTGTATGGAGATAGTTGATTAACGGTGAATCATTTACTTTTCTTTTTGCTTCAGGTAAATGGTGTCCGCGTAGAGAATGGAGTTCGCCGCCGGACGCGCAACGAGCGGCGAGCGACGCGCGTCGTGGCGTCCTTTACTCTTCCGTCTTCCTCGGCAGTCCCGGTAAGTGCTTCAACGAAAACTTCTAATTCTCACTTTCCTCGCCCTTCGAAATTGAATATCTTCGGGAAATACGGCCTTGGAAGCCACCCGTGTTCGCCCATCTTTACACTCGAGGGCTCAGCTCGCGGGGCAAACTCCCATGGAAATTTCCCTCGCTCGTACGTTATCCTTAATTAAACAGGACGCTCTGCCTATTTAACCGTGCACCGAGCAGAGTTCTCGCATTAATCGCGACGGAAGTTCGCACGATTCGTTGTTTTTGGGGATCGCGCGATCTAGGGGATACTGGACGCGTTTTCCAAACTGCGTGTCGATTGATCGGTGCTGGACGTTCGATCGTGAGCGAGGAAACTGAACATATCGATGGTGGAAAAGAGAAGTAGGGAAACAAAGAAGGACGAGAGAAATGCTACACACCACACACTTGGCTCTGTTTGTGTGCGCGTGTGCGCGTATGCGACGTGATATCGTGGCCCTCGGTGGGAGGAGCGCGCGATCGTACGCGGCATAAACATGTTTTAATCGTGCCTCGGGCATTCGCCGCGTTGAATAAATATTGATATCGGGTGACGCGACGGCCAATCAGAATCGGGGCTTATAAAACAAGCCGCTTACACCTCCGCCTGTCTATCGGACCGAGCGCGCAGCCCCTCCCTCCTCCACCTATATCTTGTCGTCGCGGTAATTATCATGATTATTCGCGGGAAATATCGAAAACGAAGGAACTCTAGACCGTTTACAAGGCGGAAGTGTATCGAGTATTTGCCTTGAAACGACCAAACGCGACGGGGAACGCGTTCGGTTTCTTTCTATTCGATTCACAACTACGATCGACGGGTAGCAAGGTCGTGGTATCGATAACCATCTATGCCCCGTCTAAATCTCGCGTAAAGGATATCGGTACGCCGTTGTCTATCCACGATTTCTCCTTTAATTAAATTACGCGGGGCCGCCAAGGAGTTCGTCGATAAGAGGACGTAAATCACAGTCGATAACTAATCGAACGATTCCGTGAGACGTCTCTCTGGGTCCCCTCTTGTCCGTGAAAGACGGGAGTGCATATCGCGCATGTGCACGCGCACACACACATCGCTTCCCTCGTTTCTCTCTGTGTCTCCTCGCGTTCCTCCTGCACTTTCTCTCTCCTCTGCCCTCTTCCTCTGTTCGCTCGAAGGAACGGAGGGAATATGAGCGAATGCCAGAGGTAGAGAGAAGTCTGGTGAGCCATGGAGAGAGAGTAGTCAGAATTGCGATGAGGAGGAACGGGAACATGAGAGAAAGAGAGGAATTGCTGAGGGAATCGGCGGAGCTGGCCGGAGGGAAAGGGACGCGCGTACCAGGGAGAACGAGGGAGACGGACAGAGGGCAAACGATGAGTGGAAGAGAGAGACATCAGGAGGCGTTTCCATAGCAACGAGGCGAGGCGGGAATGCGACGGTAACCATGGCAGCCGCTGGTTACTCTCTCTCAGACCAACCTATCTGTCCCTCTTTCTGGTCCCTCGTCCTCATCGTTCTCCTCTCTCTTTGTCTGTCCCTCTCCCTCTCTCATCTGGACCTCTTCCTTCCGCCCACGGTGCCGAGAGAGCCACGAGCACGGGATCCGCAAAGAGAGAAGGTGGAGCGGACTCTCGGAGCTGCGCTCTGCGAGAAACGTTCCGCTTCCTTTTCGCTTTTTCTCTCCACCCTGCGGCTTCTCTTTTAATAATAGTAATGCGCTCTTGGCACGCTTGAAATAAGATATGGTAATAGGGAAATACATATTTCAAGGGGAAGAAGCGAGCGGAATGAGACCGTATGTAGAGAGACTATTTTACTTGGTAACTTTAATTGCTTCTGTTTTGGAAAAGAATTCGTGGTGGAGGTTCAGTTCTTGATGATACTTGAACGGGATTCAACTGTTTTATGCGAGCAATGAAAGAAGTGTCTCGTGAGGTTCGTTTACGATGGATATTTATGAGTAATGGACGCATCTCTTTATGCAACGTGAAGCGATGGCTGACGAACGTTCTGCTTTCCGTTTCAATCTTTCTTTCGTCACGACTGTGCTTTTCATAATGCTAATGCAGTTTTACTGTATTCTGTTTCTGTAAGTGGAAACATCCTTCCAACGACAAGCTCTGATTCCTTAAAAACAGCATAGTTACGACATATACAAGATGTCGCTGTCTTCTGAAAACAGAGAATCGTTTCTTTCAGCGCAATTATTTTCAACGACTCGATCTCTTTTCTTTTCATTCCCGTTTCGAATTTACTTTACCGGACGTGATGTTTATCCAGCTGAGGATCGATCCCGGCTCTACGTGTATTTCCCTTTCCGCGTCCTTTTCCTGTTCCTACAGTTTCCATTTGTTAAAGTGTCAGGCTGGTTCCGCGCGGCGGCGGTGCGTTAATGTTGTTTTTAAAAGAGGTCTCGGGTTCGCATTAATTAATCGGGAATACGGAAATGGGCGGAGGGAGGTGGGGGGGGGGGATAAATTTTATCTCGTTCGCGCAGCCCGACTGTTAATAATGAAACGTTAATGCTAATTTTTGATTTATGCGTTCATAATCTTTCCCCCCCGGGGCGTCTCTCCGCGGCCGCGTTCGCGCTCACCCCCCTTCTGCCACCCTGGCGGACGTTTTTGAATGCAACCGATATCGGTGACTGAATTAAACGACCGGCCGGAAGCACGGGATAAATTTTGTCGCCAGGACACACCGGTTATTAATAACGACTATTTCCTAGCAGGTTCGTTAATAGGGGCCGTCCAGGTAACAATGTAATTGCAATTTACACCGTCACCTCATCCATGTTCGAATTTTCCCGCCGTTCCTCGACCGCCGTCGACTTCCACACGTTTCGTTTTTTTGTTCTCCAAGTATTCCAACCGCCGCGACGAAAAAACTCGCAAGACTGAGTAGCCGCGAGTAGTCCAATGGAGAAAAGTTCTCGGTAACGTTACTGAAAGTCGGCGCTTTGAATTTTTACCGTTCGTACGTGTAGGAACGTCGAGAAGTTAAAAGAACCGTAGACTATGCCGGTGCACGCGTGCGCTCGCGAATAGTCGGCTGAACCAGGCATCGTACAGTTTAAAAGCTATCGACATTCTTGGATGCGGAAACGCCGACCCACCTCGCGACCAGATCCTAGGATGGAGCATAGCTCGAAGCGTGGCTGATTATGTACGAGCGTCATGGAATCCCGGGATTCCATTGGGACGCTTAACTCCCGATACGTCGACTGTGTCGCGTACACACCGTGAATCGAGTTTCTGCGTCGACGACGGCATTAACGCGTCCAACCGCTTTTCTCGGCCGTATATTTTCGTCGAGCCCATCCATTACGGGCACTCCGGGCTCGGCGGCCCTCCTCGACGCTGTTATTTTCAGTTTCGTGAAATCTCGCGAGTTCGAAAAGAAAGCTCCCTCGGCCCCAACCATACACACACGGTCTCGTTAAGAATACTTGATAAATTAGACGGGTTTTACGGTTCATTCGGGTCGAGAGATGAATTCTGTCGGCGGACTGTCGAAATCGCCGCGCGGGAAACACGGACAAACTTTGTTACACGACCTCGTTCCGTATATTCGCTTCCCACCCGTCCCTCCTCTGGTCGACAAATTTTTCAGCCCGCCCGCGAATGAGATTCCTTGACGTCAATCTCGATCGGATTGTTTACCTTGACAGGGATAGACGTTCCTCGATCTCCGACGAAAAAATAGACTCGTCGCGGGGGCGGAGAGGGCGAGAGAAAGAGAGGGATTTCGACGAGGTTCTTGTTGTTTCTTTTCTGTTTATCGAAACGGACGTTTATCGCGTTGTCTGCGATCTTGGAACTGGGTCAGCCGTTCGTCGAGGATGGCTTAAGTGTCGCTTAAATTTTTCTCAAGTCTGTAATAAATTCATCGTGCGAAACGGCGTGTATGCGTACCTCGCTTTCACCCCCGTTCCCATTCGCGGTGGAATTTCAGTGTCAACGAACCGGTGGGGGGTGCGACGAAATAAATTACGGCGTGGTCACGGGACAAATTCGTTGAAATTTCGTTGAAAAGCTACTTGACCGCTCACTCGCGGCAGATCTCGTTATGGTTCCGGTAGTAGTAGTAGTAGTAGTAGGAGGATGAGGTGGAGGAGTAGGAGGAAGGTTGGTCGGTTGGTCGAGAGGTATAAGGGACACGAGGGAGGAACGAAAAGGGGAGCCGGTGGAATTCTCTCGGTTTGGTTTTTCGTGGGTCGCATATCACCCCCCAACCCCTTCGCTGGTGGAACCGCTGCTCTAGGCTAACCCTCTCTTCTCCTCCTTCGCCGCCGCCCTTTTCACCCCACGGCTGCAATGGCACACGGCATGGCTGGCTCCCTTTTCCGGCGAGTGTAGCGTAATGTAAGGGTTGCGCGGCCGCGTCGGCGGTGTTTGGGGGTGGGTGAGAGAGTTTAAAACCCCTCGGGGCTTGAGGTCCAGGCCGGTTAGATTTATCGGATGTTTTGGTTGGCGGCCATTGTTAGCTGCCCTCTCTACCGCCGCATGCCCCCCCCCCGAATGCCTGTCGAGCTCGGCCCGGATATCGGGATCGGAATTTCGCGAGGCAATAACGCTAAGAACGCAGCACCGCGCTACGCGCGGCTGTTTCGTGCTTTCCTTCGACTCGAAAAATTTATTATCGAGTTGCCGGCTTTGTTCGGCTGATCCTCAGTGGCTGCTGCTTTCGCGAAATAGGGCGGATGAAATTTTTCCACCGAGTCGAATTCAAGCGTCACGAAGATTTTCTCGAACCCCGTTCATTCCGCGATGACTCTTTGTTTCTCGTGCGAACACTCGTTTCCAAGAGAATACTCCTCGCAAACAACCGCGGCCCCCGATTCCGCCGCAACCCCAGAGCGCTATTGTGCACGGTGGTTTGAGCGATGTTCAAGCTCACGGACCACGACCCTTCGGTTCAACCCTCCCGACCGCAGTTTCTCTCAATCCGTTCTAACCGGTACATCGCGATTCGTCGAGGAAACCCCGTGAAACGCTGTCT